CCCCCCCCCCCCCCCCCCGTAATTATGAGGTGAAGAGAGCCTCATTATAAACACATCCAAATCCCTGATCCCCTGCGACGGCGCGCAACTTCCAGCGCGTAGATCAATATTGCTCTGCCCCGACGGTTGTTCGCGCGAAAACGTCAATTTCCGGCTTGCGCGCGTCACTCGTGTCGAGTCGACAAGGGTGTCTCGCGAAAATCGGGCAATTCGCGAGGACGGGAGATAACGTTTCGATACGCGAATACAAGGAAGTCGGAAGACGAATCAAGGCGGGGAGCGACTCGCACAGAGTTCGGCGTGTGTTGGACATGCACCTCCTCCGGCTCGTCTAACCCGAAGAAGATAGATGCGAGCAGGCTATTCCAGTTAAATGTAGCAACGGCTAAGAGTGTTGGATCGCGATGAGCGGACGGTGCGATCCGGGAGAGAGAACGTACCGAACGAAGGCGAAGCAGACGGAATGAAGAACACAACGAGAGGAGGAACGGCGAGCGGCGACTACGAGGGAAAGAGAAAGAAAGAGAGCACGAAAGAAGCTGCGACGACGACGGCGGGTGCCGGTGGTGGGGATAAAAGCGAGAGGGACCGGCAATAAAACGATCGAGCGAGCAGGACGGAGAGGTAGCGGCGGCATAGGCCGCGGAGCTGGATCACCTATGGGCAGAGACAGGACTCGCGCGCGGAAGAAACACGTAGTACACGCTGAGAGACGGAATAAAGTCCGCGCGGAAGAGAGGGAGACGCGACTGCAGCAGCCACCTCGGTAGACTCTATATCCAAGAACCTCGCTGTTGTAGGGGGCGGAAGGAGGGCTGGTGGAGCGGCGAAGAAGCAGGAGGGAGGGGGCGAACTCTCGGAGCGAGCGACGGAGAAGGACGCAGCCGGCGCGCGGAATTGGTAGGGTGAGGCGGAAGAGTGGAGGCAGAAGAAGTGGGACACGGCGAGCGCCTATGAGGTGAACCGGCGAGACGGCGCTTCCTCGTAGTGGGGCGAGCCAGGGCGTTCCGGAATGGCGAGTTCGCGCGTCGGACACCAGATGTCGAGCGGACTCACCCCACGACCGCGTCCAGGTCTCCTCGGGGTCAACGTGGAGGCGTGTACGTGCACCGGTCTACACCCAGAAACGCCCATCGCGAGCCCTCCCGCCGCTTCCTCGCCGCAGACGTTCCGCGGCAACCAACTGGACAACCAGCCCGGTCTGGTTTCACGGCGTCGCACACTACGGCTCCGTCGAGAAAGACCCGCGTCTCCACCAGCAGATCCGCGACCGAAAGGTATTCCCACACGCCGGTGCGTGTCCACGAGAGCTGGGAGAGGCGACCCTCTTACCCTTGCCGCGTTATTTCTGTTGTCCGCTGGACGTTGGACACCGCAAGTGGCCCGTCCAACGGAGATCGTCGCCACGTCCGGGACGTCAGTGCGCCCCCCGCTCTGCTCTCCCGAGAAATCTCCGGCCAGTTGAAGATCCGGGAACATGTGAGAGTGCTAGTTAGGATAGTACAGCGAGAGCCGCGGGAAGAAACGCTAGGTTGGGCGATGGCGGGACACTCCCAGCCGGGATCCGCGGATTGGGATTAAGGATTCGCTCGTTCGACGCGCGCCGGATCATTTGTGGTGTAGCATCACCGGGAAAACCGCGAGGAGGCGACGGGCCGATTATGGGAGTGAAACGGAGTGTCGACGCAGCTCGCGAATAGTCCGCGAAACCGTCCGTCGGGATGGAGTAGGGTGAGAACGCGGCTTAGCCGGTGGCGAAAAAGGCCTGCGGGACGTCGCGAGTAGTCGTCAAAAGTGCGAGATTGCAAGGGAAGTATCGAGCAGAGGGTTCGCGCTGAATCGACACGTTGGCCCTGCCTGATTAATCATGCGCATCAAGAGGAAAACGTGAGAGAGAGCGTTCCGAGTAGCTCGTGACAGAGAGAGAGAGAGAGAATGACGTTGGTCAGTGCTGAGCGGAACGTTTCCGCGAGGTAGATCGTGCGAGAGACGATGTAAAAACTTTGGGGGCAGACCAGTTAGTCGTTTCGGGCAAGCGTACCAGGCGGAAGAGAGGGCGTCGTGAGAATGTGGTCCGCGGAAGTATCGTTGTGATCGCGTCGGGACAGCTAAATTGATCTGCGTGCGGCGGGGTGTCACCTCCGGAGAAGATGTCGAGCACACCCCCGGAACCGGTGAGTCTGGACTCGGACTCACCGGAGGCTGGATCGAACCATCCGTCGTCGCGACTGGGCCGGGAGCCGGAGGACGCGGAGAAACGCGACGAAACGCGAGTAGGAACAGAGTGCAACGCCGACAGCGACTGCGAGAGCGACACGAGTGAGGTGTTGAGCGTCGGTAGCGAACCAACGCCGAACAGCGTGGTCGGGGTGCGCGTATGCGGCTCCGTCAGGTACGACCAGGAGTCCGCGAGCAGCCGGGGCGAGTTTCGCGATGAGGAGAACACGAGAACGTCGGCGACGCCGTCGCCGTCTAGTTCCACCAGTTGCAACGACCTCTATTACCAACGTACGCCCGGCAATCACGCACCGAGTCCACCCGGCTACAGCCAACCGCCATCGTCCCCTACGGCGTCTTCCGTCAGATCCCCGGCTTCCTCGTCGGCGACCGCCTCGTCCCCAGGTCGGCCGGAAGCCACCCAAGAGGCTATCGTACCCAGGTATCAATCCAGTCATCAGCAACACCTCCTCCCTCGATACTCCTCCAGGGAAGCCGAGATTTCCGACTATCCGGCGCGTGTACAACACGGCCTGAGCCACGAGATCGTTTACCCGACCGTCGAGAGGTTGCACCGTACACCGATAAGTGTGCCCCTGGTAACGAGACTCTCGTTGTCGCCGCCGTCGGCCATGACGGTTACCGGACTCCAGGCGACGACGCCCGTTCTCCATCCCGCCGCCTGCAGGGACCCGCGGGAGGCCACCTCGCTGATGCCGCATCACAGCCAACACCTGCATCATGCGAACGCCCACACGACGCATCTGCACCAGGGCTCGCAGGTGCAGCATGTGCCGGCGAATTCGGTGCACCATCATCGGCTGTCCGTCAGCAAGCTTCTCCAACGGGACCCCGGCAGTCCGGCGTCGCCCGGCGGCACCAGGGAGGAGAACGGACGTACCCTGGCCGCGACGAACGGCCTCCAGAACAGCATCGGCAACAACGGTAACCATCATCACCACCATCACCATCACAACAACCACAACAATAACAACAACAACAACCTGCAGCACCAGGCGGGTCTCAAGTTCAGTATAGACAACATTCTCAAGGCGGATTTCGGCCGGAGGATCACGGATCCTATCTCCCTGAAAAAATCTCGTCCCAAGAAAGTGGCCTCGCGGCCGATCGACCTGACCAAGGACTTCTTGGAATCGTCCTCCGACGCTTCCGAGAGAAACGGCACGGAGACGACGACGACGACGACCGCGACGACCAACGCGTCTCCCACCAGCGTCTCAGCCGGAAACCCGGCACCCAATCCTACCGGATCGACCGGCACCGATCCTGGGAAGATGCTGTGGCCAGCGTGGGTCTACTGCACCAGATACTCGGACAGGCCCTCCTCGGGTGAGTTATCTCTGTCTGAACGACTGACTTCTGTTCCAACATCGCGTCAGAATGACCTTACTCTCGGATATGTGGCGGTAATTGAACACCGCGAGGTGTTTGATAATCGAACGACGAGTTATCCATCACGGACGCGAACATAGCCGATAAAACTTTGGACGATTTTTCAATTCACCCGTGCGACGCGTCGACGAACGGCCGCGATTCATCACGGGGCAAGATGATGATTTACGTCGTCGCTGAAAACCGCATTCGTGGCACAGCCTCGTGAGAATACCCCGTCTGTTTCTTTCTTTCTTCTCTCCGTGCGGATGTGAATATATTAATGCGAAAATATAACACGCCGGAAGAGGCCGCATAATAACGCGATTAATCAAAATTCATTCCCGTGGTACGACGTGCGCGAACGCCATTCACGTAACGCTGGGCGATTGTGGAACGTATCGTAGCTCGTGACGACGAGTCTGGAACGCGATTTGCCGAAGAGTGCAGCATTTAATCAATTAATTCGACGAAATGCCACGGAACGTTTTAAGTGGGAAAATGAGACCTCTCTCTCTCTATCTATTTCTATGTTTCTCCTTCTCTACGCATTCATTGTCGGGGAGCGCGATTACTCAATAACCTCTGCCAATAGAACCTCTCATTAGGCGCGTACATATAATGGCTTTAAATACCGAATGTATATAAATTTCTTAGTCAGAGAAGAAATATTCACAGCGCCTGGAGAAAATGTTTCTCGCCATTGTGCGAGGGAACGTTTGTTAAACGGCCGCAATTTACTACTGTCACGATTGATGTGTGCGTATGTGTGTGTACGCGTGCAAGTTTGTGTGCGTACGTGTGTATGTGTGTATACGCGCGTATGTGTACGTAATACACGCTTATTCGTGGAATCGGAGGGGGCGGGGGAGGAAGGGAGGAGAATGGTTGTCACGTTTTTTAGATAATAATTAATTAGTGAAACGCGCCGTGTTAACGTTCGCCGCAACACTTGCGCGCTTTGATAGGCGAACGCGACCGCAACTGTACAAATATATATTGTATAATTGTGCTGCTGGGAGGCGCGGGGGAATAATTCTGCGATTCGTAGCGAAAAACGGTTTCTCTCACACTGTGCGCGTTTCACGTAAATACGGAACACTGGGCACTCTTGCGAAATGTACAACGAACGAGAGATTATCGGTTGCATAATTTTATCAGAGAATGCATTCGATGGCAAAGTATCATCTTTCTCCCTCCCTTTCTCGCCGGGGCAGACCGATCTGAGAATTTTTATGTTTTTCAACAGATCGCGACATATTACAATGGCTTGCGTTATTTCGTTACCGATCAATTAATTATCACGCGCTTTTCGCGCGGAAAGAAGTGTGCGACCACCGCCGTTTTCGCAGCTTCGCACAGATAGATGGTCCTTTCAAGTGACACAGGAAAACGTGTAATTACTTCACTTCCCGCGCGAGTGCCAGCTTGATGAATGATAGAAAACGTTTCTTCGTGTCGTTCATATCTGATATACGCTTATTGTCAGGAAACAATAGTTAAGCAGTCGGAGAAATAGCCGCTCTCTGCCTCATAAATCAACCACGGCCATTTCTCACCCGGGTACTCGAGCAACAATTTTCTAGGCGGATTCAATGCCTCGCGTCGTGTTGCGCAAAAAGCGAAAGAAGACAAAAAGGGGAAGGAGAGGAGAAAAAAAGCGGAGAATTCGACGAATAAATTTATACAAATCGAAATGCAATTGTCTTCGCTCTCTCGCGCGCGCGCGTTCGCGGTCGCACATTACCCCGGCGTTTTACATTGTATCGCGGCGATTTATTTGCCGGAACCACAAATTATTGCACGAACAAGATTAAGACCGCGGACCGCGGAAAATAAACGCTCGAGATCGTAATGTTCGCGATGGCCGGAGACCGGCGTCCGATATGTACTCATGATATCTAATATTAATAGGTATCGTTAAGTCGCTAAGTTCTTACGATAATATATATTTTTTTCATACGTATCTCTCCACGCAATTAACCCGCTCCCGGTAATAGCGGCTTTTCCAACGAGAGAACCGTTCTCGCCGGCCGCCTCTTCTGATCGCGTGAAACTTGTAATCGCGGCGCAACATCGACGCCGGCGCGCCGATCATTACGGCAAACACCGTGACGAATAGATAAATATTACCGGCCGGCGAGATGTTATTGGATCACCTATTCCTATTATGTCTTTACATGGCGTAATTTCGCGACCGGGCAGATAAGCGCGGCGCGACCAAGCAGTCGTTAAAACGACGACTATAAAATCTAATTACGGTAATTGAAACGCGCTAAGTCCCGCGTGGTGAGTTCATTGATATCATGGTAAACGTATTTCCAGCGCGTATTCTTTTCGCGCGTTCTCGCGTGCGTTAATATCCGCAAATAAGCGCGATATCGTGGCGCGACACGGCTGGCAATTTCCAGAGTGTACGGGGAGCGAGTGCCGACTATGATGCCGAAGGGGAGACGGGGGAGAAGGACGAACGAATCTAATCAGTAACGTATTGCCGGACACACGCGTTCGCTCGCTCGCTCGCGCGTGCGCGCGCTTTGTGAGACTTTCACGCTCGCGGTAATTGGATACAGTTGAAGCCGAGTTCCTCTCCTATTATTGGCTACTTATCGGCGACCGTGTACATGATACCGAGTATCTTCCCTTCGCGAACCGTAAACGCTTCTCTCTCTCTCTCGCGTGTGAAGTGCACTAACGTAACGGATAAACAACGCCGAGGCACGGCCACGAGAAGTCACAGGGATATTTGAGCGGACTTTTCTCACGCACGCTTATATTTTACGCGAGTCTCTCGGAAGAAGGAAGGGAAAATTGTATAGGCGCGATCGATCATGGCGCTCTGATAAGATTTCAACTCGACTTATAACCCGGCCTCGTCGCTCCGCCGGCGCGACCTATGGAATAATGTAATTGATTGTGAGAGCGTAATTTCGCGAGTCAACGCTATCAACGGGCCATCAAACCGTCGGGAAGAGTCGGGAGCGAAAAAGCCGCGACGGTTGACATCGATCGCGTCGTCGTCGTCGCCGCTTTCCGCAGGGAAAATCGTAACGCGTAATCGTAACGTGGGAAAGTACGCGCGACGGCGATCGGTCGATCGATCGGACGAGCGCCCGACGCGTTTACGCTCATCGTTTGTCTCGTCAATCGCGGCTGGGAAATGCGCGGGTGGCGATGAGAGACGATATGGAAAAATTCCCGGGAAAAATGGCCCACATTCGAGAATATATCGCGCGATTAAGTCCGCGATACGCGGTTAAACGGTCGTCGCGAGCGGGCAGCACCGAAAGCAGCGACTGATACATTTCCATCGTCACTCTCGGAGCTGCGACGGACGAGAGAGAGAGAGAGAGAGAAAGGAGAGGAGAGGCACAATAAAGCCGGCGCAGTATCGCGCGCTAAAATCCATTTACGGAAAGTTATGGCTAATTAGTTTCCCCGGGGCCGGTGCCTATGCGACGCGCACGGGCGATTTCCCGTTAACGAGGCTCAAATCGGTGCCACATACGCACACACACACACACACATATATAGATATGGGATAACACGTCGGGAAAGACACGCGCACGGCAGCGTATTTGCGCGAACACGCGGGTGAGAATTTGAAAAATCTGCATTCGTCGGCACGTTTCACATCGGCGGGCAGACGGACGGACGGACGCGCGACGGACTCGCGCGTTGCTAAACTCGTTACCTGCCGTCGAGTGCGCGGGTGCGAATCGACGCGCCGATTCGCGACGAGCAGGAATGCGACGATCGCGTAGCATCGCCGCGTAATTAACGCGCGCGCGCGCGCCCACCCGGCTGCCGATACATTTCACCGCATCGCGCGAAACTCGAAACGACACTTCGAGCCGATCGCTCGCGGAAACGGCGCGCGAATAATCCCGCCGCGGAAGGATACCAGCGAAGAATCGCGATTGCCCGTGGTGATCTCCGCGAAATCGCCGTCGTTATTAGGCAAGGCAAGATCGGTGGAATGTCGCATAATTAGGAATGCTGTGCTATTACCGATATAACGCCGATATCGATATTTTTCTCTCAATACCGAGTATTATCGTATCCGCACTTTCTTTCGATATTCGCACCTACATCAATACTTTGTCCCGATATCTGTTCGATATCTTGTTCCTTAATTTTTACTCGGTCGGTCTTCAAGCTGTATTTTTGCTTCGTGAAAATTAGCGTAACATGCAACTCAAATCTATCTTTTCTCATGATTACGTTAATTTTACGGTTGTATATCGATATCGAGATCAATATTTTTGCTCGGATATTGGTATCACTAATACTATTCATATTCTCGATCAGATACCAGATGTTCCAATATTAGTATCGATACTTTCATGGTATCATACCCCAATACATAATTAAAAGGAGCGATCGCGTCAGGCGATCGGCGGGATGAAAAGCGACGCGCGTTACACGACGCATCAGGCTTTAACGAAATGTTCGTTGCGGCGAAATAAAGAGGCATTAATTCGCGGAGCCGATTCTCGTCTCCCCTTCAGCATCTCTTCTCCGTCTCTCTTCTCGTCGCCATGGTGGATCGACGGAGTAAGAGGACCGATATATGTGCGTACATACAATTGGCATACGTGTATCGTTCGGCTCCGTATCGGGCGGTCTCGTGGGATCCATCGATCTTATTAAGGTTAAATCGAAGGTGCCTCTCTCGTTCTCCGCGACTGAACACGATAACAAACCTAAGTTAGAGACACGCACCGGCCGGCCGAGCGGACCCACGTTTACGGTGGCCCCCGGGGGCGGTTACAAGACCTATGAATGGCTTCCGTTCGTTCCCGATATCGCGATTTTCAGAACCGAGTCGATCGCGCCTCGGTTCATTTCCTTTCAGCCGCCCTTGTCGCCCGCGACAAACGTCGTTACCCACTCGCATCCTTTTGCGACGAGTCTTGAATCTCACGGTCGCGTCGAGTTAATCGTCGACGCGAGTC